GCGTTTGGAAGCCCGGTCCAGAGAAACAGAAACGATATCGCTGATTCCCCCCAACATCGGGGCTCACAGTTGCCCGTCTGTGCCACCTGCCAGCCCTATGGCCCAGCTGCAGGGAAGGCAGCTGTGGGTAGTGTGGCAGGATTACGTACTGCGCTGGCAATGTGATGCACAGCCCAGCGCTCCTGGTGTTAAGCTCAGAGTGATTATAGTCATGCACAAAGGAGGCTGCTACAAGCCTGCGTGATATGGCAAGTGTTTTGCTCCTCCTATCCCGCAGCTGCAGAGAGAAATGCAAAAGTGTCCATCTTTTTCTACAGGAGCTTGAGAGATGGGGTCAGGTGCTGTACCTTTAAGATCCATGGGAGTCTGTGCAAATTCACTAGGGATCCAAAGCCCCTTGCTGTCAAGATCAAAGATACAGCACGAAAGCCACGCTGTCCTTGAAATGGATCTCAGATCATACAGGTCTGGGGCTTTGGTACTACTGCAAGACAGCGAAGGCTAGCAAAGCTACAGGCTGAATCTCTCTAGTCCGGAACCCTCAGAGACTTTGCCGGACCACAGAGATCAAAATTATCTAGCAGAATTACCCACACTTCCATTGCTTGCTGGGCTCTTAGAAGACATATGGGGTCAACTGGAGCTAAATAACAGCACAGAACAGAGCCAGGACTGGCGGCTGTAAACAAACTTTATGGAACTGCAGCAAACTTGGCCACACCCATGGTAAGTGGACATCGGCTAACAAAAATCATGCCGGACCAGGGATGTTGCCAGACCAGAGAGTGCCACACTACAGAGGTTCAACCTGTAGTACTGAAGAGGCCCCTTCGTCCTGCATGCAGCTCAATTTCACATCTGTGACGTTAACTTGGCCAGGCGCTAACACCCCACCGAACGCTCCCACCAGGGGGAATAATTAAAAGTTTTTGCTTCATCACATTCATTTAAACCAGAAAGTGGAAGGATTAAAAATGGAGAGTTGTTTTTTTTTAATTGTAAAGACATTGACAAGAGCTGATACAGCAAAAACCAGAAAAGCCCTTCGATAGATTTAGTTCATTCTACTTAGCTCTGAGTAACACCACTGGGAGAGCAATTACATGCCCATAATTAATTATTTTCTACCTCGCTGGCGCTACAAGCCCTTGTGAACACTCAGACAATTGGGCCGCTCATCAGCGTGTCTCTGATGCCTAATTTTGGGGTGGGAGGGGTGCTGACCTGTGAAATGGAATGTCTCATTCTTTACCCCAAGGGGGCCTTTAATCTCAGTTTAAGAAAAGTTCTTAAAAACTTTTTCAGGGTCTGGACCGCTGTTTAACCCAAGAGTGTCTCGTGAGCACGCCCTGGCATGTGCATGGTCAGGAGAGCCGCTGTCTGTCCTACCAGCAACTGAATAACGGCAATTGCCTACATAGAAAAAACAACACACAGGCTGTGTCTACATTGGCACCCTTTTCCGGAAAAGGAATGCTAATGAGACAAGTCGGAATTGCAAATGCCGCGGGGGATATTCCTGACTTTAAGAGGAATAAGGGATCTTCGGGAAAAGGATTTATTTTCCAAAAGATCCCGTCTAGACTGGCGCTTTTCTCCGGCAAAGCTCCGAGCCAGAAAAAAGCGGCAGCCATGGTCCTGCAAATGCCGCGGGGGATATTTAAATCCCCTGTGGCATTTGCAATTCCAACTTGTCTCATTAGCATCCCTTTTCCGGAAAAGGGTGCCAATGTAGACACAGCCTTAGGGCAAGATTTTACCAGGTGTCCATTGATTTCAGGGGCCTCTCTTGAGATGTTTCATAATGTGCACATCACCTATCATAGGCTATGTCTAGACTACATGCCTCTGTCGGCAGAGGCATGTAGATTAGACAGATCAGCAAAGGCAAATGAAGCCGCGATTTAAATGATCGCGGCTTCATTTACATTTACATGGCTGCCGCGCTGAGCCGACAAACAGCTGGGCAGTCTGGACATTCCCCCTGTCGACATCAAAGCCCTTTGTCGGCAGCCCCGTTATTCCT